CTTAATGTTTGTGTGATTCTTCATATATTAAAAACCTATTTCCACATTCTCTCATTGGTTCATGCAGGAGCCTGTGAGGGAAAAATGATTGATATGATCCCATTTGACAGAGCCAGAGCCCATGCATCAGTGAGCTTGACACACCAGACCAGTCAGAGGCTGTGGTGAGGATTGAAACTCAGTGTCCTGAGGGGCGCCTGGGTGGCTCAGTCGTTAAGCGTCTGCCTTCGGCTCAGGTCATGATCCCAGGGTCCTGGGATCGAGCCCCGCATCGGGCTCCCTCCTCCGTGGGAAACCTGCTTCTCCCTCTCCCACTCCCCCTGTTCCCTCTCTCGCTGTGTCTCTCTGTCTCTGTCAAATAAATAAAATCTTTAAAAAAAAAAAGAAAAAAGAAACTCAGTGTCCTGACTTCAAGCCCAGCAAGTTCATGGTTAGCTGACATGGGTGACTCTGAGATAGGATTCAAACATGAGGCACAGGGGACCTATTTGGAGTTGCTCTTAGAGACTAAAACTCCAGGACTGGAATTTGGGCATCTGGGGCAGGTAGGTGGGGTTAAGGGTGGTGGCACTGATCCAATGACATCACCGGGCTGCTCACCCAGGCTTGGGGAAGGCCAGTCCCCCCACACTGCCTGTGCTGTGGGAATCCCTGCACGTACTAACGTGGATTCCACTGGTGAAACCCCGGACAGCGGCACGTTAATTACACATTTCTAATGTCCTGGGCTCCCCTCCCCATTGTTGGGGGTTTTGCCACCTGTGACTCTGGGGACACACACAGGGGTGCAAGATTACCCAGCAGAGAAAAGAGATGAGGTTCAGACACCCGTCTCTGGCTCCAGACGCCCTCTAGGGGGTAATTCGTGAAACTGGTGCTTCTTTCCCTCCATGTGCCTCTCCTTTGGGGAGATGATCCCTGACAGGCCCACCCTAGGTCTCCCCCTTTGGAATGGGGGAGCTCACATCTGTGAGGCCCTCAGCACTGAACAACAAGGGGCTCTCAGCTTTGCTGAGTCCCGAGAGGATGTGATGAAGGGCAGCTCTTCCATGTCTGGGAACGTAGCCTCTTCCCCAGGTAAGAGGCTGCTCAGTGGCTGCTGGGGCTGGCTGAGCAGTGCTGGATCGGTGCATCAGACTTTGAACATTCACATCTTTATTAGAGGCTGCATAAATGGAGAGAGGGCAGAACAGCCCTTTGTTGTAAAACCTGTGGTCAAGCACTCTGCAGGTAGCAAGCACGGTGGGGCTGGAAGCCAGTGGGCGCCGCCCGGGTCAGGGTGAGGCTGAGGGACGACGCTACGAACGGTGGCCCAGGTACTGCCTTGCAGTTGCCGAGATGGTTATCACAGCTAGGCTGCGGCCCCATCAGCCTGTTCCCACAGGAGCTTCTGAGTCAACACTTGCTTTGAACTTGAATCCCATTTTAAATGCATCAGAGTTCACTGGTCGACCAGCACTCCCACTGTGGTAGCCAGTTCCCATGCAATCCCTCAGTGCATCTGCAGGGCACCTGCTGGATGGGGGCTGAGGTGTGGGCACGCAGACCTCAACCCTGTGAAAGCTCGGGCAATGGAGGCTGGAGGCCTGGGCTGTGTCCCTGTGGCAGGAGGAGCCAAGGAAGAAGGAAGGAAGAGGAGCAGGGCGGGGACAGTGGTTCTGCTGGTCAGAGGGAAGGCCCTGACCTGCCTCTGTTCTGCCGCTGACCTCTGGTGTGACCACAAGGCTGGGGGCCTCAGCTTGGGGCTGAGAGCTAGGGTTTAAGTTGCAAACCGCCCTGCCCACTGCCTCGGTGGCTTCGGTCCATGTCTAAAATCCCAGAATGACAGAGCTGGATGGGAGCCCATTTAGCGGGTGGGGATGCCGGAGTTCAGGAAGGGGTCTTTTCCTAGGTCACCCTCCATGTGCCCAGTAGGGCCCAGGACTTACTCTGCTACTCCACCCTGCTGCGCTTTTGGGGAGCAGTCTATCAGAGTACTGGTTCTGAGTCTTAGCGGGTATCAGATTCATCTGAAGGACGTGCTAAACCAGTTTGCTGGGCCCACCTCAGAGATGCTGATTCCAGAGGTCTGGGGTAGAGGCTCCCGGCGGATGCCAACGCTGCAGGCCCCTGGTGTATGTGGTACGCAGCACTGGATTAGAGGACATTCCTCAGTGGGGCTGAGGTGAGCAGCGCAGAGAGAGCAAAAGCCATGCTGAGAGGCTGGTGGCCTGAGGGCTGAAGAGCGAAGCCTAAGGGGAGGTGTCCATACAGCCAGAGGAAAGAAGCAAGCTTGGAAGGGTCTGATTCTGGAAGGAGGAACAGACATGAAGCAGTAGCTTCTGTCTCTGCAGATATGAGGCTCTTTGGGGATGAAAATGCATTTTTGTCCCCAGAGCAGTGAACAGAGAGCTGGCCTTCAGACAGGCAGATGGTGGGAGAACCCAAACTCATGACAGCAGCTTGGTTTGAAAGGCACTTTGTGTACCCGTGGGGTGTTGCGGGCAGGGTCTCTGGGGGCTGTCAGCAGGTCCCCTATAGGGGGCAGTGGCTGGAGGTCAGGGAGGGGCTGCAGTGACACTCACGGAAGTGGCAGGTTGGGTGGCTGGGGACCACTCAGCCCAGAGGCTGGGCCTTCTTTACCCCGTGGTTTTGGCTCCTGGAGGAGAGGGGCCCAGGGCTCGAGGGAACCAACCCATGGGTGCTCCCAAGGCCTGAAAGGGGATCTGGTGGCCCCTGGGGAGTTAGGACTTGGACTTGCTTGGACTTGGAACCTTCTCTGTGGGGTTTTTAGAGAACGGGAATTTGGTCCCAGAGAACAGATTCTGGACCAAATGACAACGGGGTGCTGGGGGCCAGGACCTGGGAATGCAGTGATGGGCAGTGGGTTGGGGGGGTGCTGGCTCAGGGACCCCCTCCCTATCCCCAGAGATTCCAAGCCAGTCCGGGCTTCCTCTCAGCTCTGCTGGCACACCCTCTCTGCCAAGCTGTGGCCAGCGACAGGGTTGGTGATGCCTTCTGCCCGGGCAGAGACGGGCTCCTCCGACAGGCCTCTGAAGTAGGTGCTCAGAGCCTGCAAGTGGCCAACGCGCTGGGCAGGGGGTGACGAGGCGGGGGGCAGGCTCAGGTAGCGGCTGTACTTCCGCAGCCCCTGCTGCGGGTCGCGGCGGTGTGCGGCCAGCAGCTCAGCGAAGCTCACGTTGTGGAGGGCCAGCAGGCGGGCCTGGGCACGGGGCAGGACGGCCGCCTGCACCAGTGGCTGCAGGGACGCGAAGCACTGCAGGCTGCTGAAGGAGTAGACGTGCTGAGCTAGTGGGGGGCCTGGGGAGACCTCGAGGAGCCGGCACAGGTCTCGCATGGCCAGCACGGCGGCCAGGGCGCTGCGTTCGCTCATGTTTCTTGCCAGGTAGGTCTTGGCCAGGCTCTTGAGCTTGAAGCTGCTGGCCCCAGGCACCCGCTCCTGGATGAGGGGCAGCATGGCCAGGAAGCCAGAGATGGCCTCCTGAAACTCCCACAGCCTGTTCATGTCTTCCAGGGCCCGGAAGAAGTTGGGGAGGCCAGGTCCCCACAGCTTATAGCAGGCCAGGATGGGGCGGCGCATGGAGCCCAGAAAACCAAGGAAGTGTTGCAGCCCCACCTCCAGGGAGACGGCCTTGGAGTACATGCTGAAGAAGGCCTCGGGCTGGATGAGCACGCGGAACTCACTCTCCCGGTTCACGGCCGCCAGCTGGCTAATCTTCTGGGCTGGGCAGGAGAGAAGGGCAGGGTGAGGCCCCGGGGGCATAGGGGGGCGGCACAGGGCGGGAGCAGCGGGACCTCTGGGGTTACTGTCCCACCACACAGAGACCCCACCTTGGGGCCTGCCAGCAGGAACCACACATCAGCCTCCGAACGTAGCTCTACCCTGGCTCTCGTGGGGTCAGGGGGCAGAAGGCGAAGGCTGGCTGCTCTCCAAACACCCACCACTCACCTGTTGGGAGTCCAGCTGCACCCCACCCCCCTGACCCTGCCACCTGCCCCAGACTTTGCCAGTTTAGAGCCAGGTCCCTCCTGCCTGCCTTCTGTTAGCCTCACCCACCTGCACTTGGGGGCCCTCTTTGTCTCCCCTGCATCCTCTGCTCCCTTCCCCAGCCTCCAATCCCATCGGTCACTGAGCCAAGACTCTTGGCCGGTCAGAGCCCTGGGACACACAGTCTACCTGCCCAATCTACTCCATTCAGAACGTGGCTCAGAGCTGCCCTGTGAGGTCTGCAAATGACTTCCCTGTCCTAGGCCCACAGCACCACTTCTGCCTGGCTGGGCTGGCCCCGTGCTGGGGCTGTGCCACAGGGCAGGCTGGGCCCTCCGGGTTCAGTGAAGGGCACTGCAGGTAAGCACCATGGTGAGCTGAGGGGCTTCTGGGAGAAGGGGTCATCTTTCTCCATGATCTTGGCTGTCAGCCTCCCTGTGCGGCCCACCTGCGGAATGGGCTCTGTACTCAGAATGCTACAGCCAGGGCTTAAGGCCTTGCTTGCATTGCTGGCCTCATCGTGGTGACTTTCCACATCGTGTTGTTTCTGTTTAGAGGTGTGTCGCCAGGGCTCTCTAAGAGAAGCACTGGTCAGAGATGAGCTCATGGAGGCACCTGCCTCATGCTTTCAGGCGCTGGTCGAGGCAGAAGTCTTTATTCTATCAGCCAAGTGGGACAGCTGGAGTCCCAGGGGGGATGCAGCACTCTGTCTGCTCTCTGGCTGTGGCATTGGCCAGAGCTCTGGGCTCTCCCGGGCCCAGAACATAGCTCTGCCTGCACTTATTTCGGGGACTCAGAGACTAAGCTAGAAAGGGGTGGGGGTGGCCACTGGAGAACCCACTTTCACTGTCAATCTTGAGGTCAAAGAAAACCAGGGGCCTGTCTTCTGCTTGGGGGTCGGCGAGGCTCTCATCCAGGACCCTGAGGGAGCTGGGGCCCTCCAGCTGGAGGTCACTGGACTCGCTGCTGCTGTCATCCAGCTCTCGGGAGGACTGCAACACAGAAAAACCAACAGGTCAGGGGGCCGGAGGGCGAGGGTGCATGGTGGCAATGCGAGCATGTGCCCGTGAGCGTGTGTGTGTGTGGGTGGGTGGGTGTGTGCATGGTGTGAGTGTGGGGACATGAGCAAGCTGGTATGTTTGGGGGCATCTGCATGCACATGAGGGAGAGCAGGGTTTTGGGAAGGGGAAGGTGTGTGTCTGAGTGTGTGCATGAGGATGTGTGCACATGAATTGATGTGTGTGTACGTGAGAGCCACGTGTGAACCACGCGGTAGTGAGGAGTGAGGCTGAGATCATGCAGGCGTGTGTGTGTGTGTGTGTGTGTGTGTGTGTGAAAGCACAAGTATGGGAATGAATGCAGATGTCAAATGTGTGCATCGGGTGTGAATTTGTGAACCGGTGTTGACAACTGTGTGGGAACATGAGCATATGTGAGTGAGTGTGCACCTGGATGCATGGTGCTGGGCAGGGAAGCTCAGGGAAGGGGCTGTTGCTAGAGGGGTCTGCTGCTCCCTTCTCTCTCAACAGACTCAGAAGAAACACCCTGGACTTGGGGCAGGAGGAAGGAGGCTCATCCCAAAGCTCAGAAGTTTCTCCGGAAGCGGCCAGGAGCCTGGCTCTTCTTGTCTCCATGGCCAGCTTGGGCCCCACTGTCCTACACAGAGGGGGAAGGGAGGGCCACTCAGCCTCAGGAATGCCACGTCAACGTGGACACACAGAACCTAGAAGCGAGAGCCATGGAAAGAGAAGTCTCAGGGCCCGGAGGCCCTTTGTCATTTAGCATCCAGAAGCCGGCTGCTCAGAGAAGCCTCAGGCCCAGGGATCCTCTAACCTGGGCACCCAAGGCCCTGTTATCTCCAGCACCCAGGCAAAAACAGTTTGAAAGGCCTCAGGGGTGGGGGAAGGGCTGCAACTCTGTGAGGCTCCCAAACGGCTGCAGCTGGAGGGCGGTAGAGCCTCTCCCTAAAGTGAATTGCTCAGCATCCACCAGGTGCCACACCCAGAAGGTGTCTTTGGTGGCCTGCTTAAAGCTTCCCGGGGATGCCACCTGCGGATGTTAGCCAGAGACCAGGAGGAAAGGACATGGCTGATGCCACAGGGCCACGTGTCACAGGGCTGGGAGTACTGCTGGGACAGAGTCCACAGCAGACCTGGGGTCCTTCATATTTCCGGACTGCCTCTAGCAGAGTGATGATGCTGGCCTCCCCGGGGGCTATCTGAAGCCTCCAAGAATAAATGCTGGCTTCTGGCTAATGTCCCTGGCTCGGGAGGGAACGAGCATGGGTTTAGGCCCTCTTACTCTCCAGGTGAAACATTTTAACAAAACTTCAGCCAAGAGCGAAGTCATTACTAAGCACAGGTACAATGTGCTGGATTTTCCTAGGAGTGCCTGATTCTTACTCTTCTTGCTTTTTTCATAGCCCTACCCCAGGCTCACCAACTTCCTTCCAGTCACTGATAGAAAAGACATTCACTATGAATCCACCTAGAGCTGGTCTTGCTTACAGAAGCCTGGGAGTGAGGGGATTCTACACATAAGGCCCTAATTAAAGTCTTGGTCAAGCGCCTGGCATATCCGTATCCTCGACTTGGCCACGCCTCAAAGGTTTATTCTGCATGCCTTGCTCTGAGTCTCTGTCCCGCGGTCCCAGCTCCCTTTCCTCCCTGTAAGGAGCCCTCTACAGGTGTCCTCCTCCAAGTTGTTGGCTGGTGGACCAGAGACGCCACCTCCCTTCCCCGAGGGAAAAAATCCAGGTGTTTTTTTTTATCTTCAGCCTTCCAGACCTTGCTCTTGCACTTGGGCTGGTGGAAAGAGCTGGACTCCTCTTGCTGTGTCCTCTCCAGAGCCGAGCTGACCCTTTTCCCGAGTCCTCTGCCACCCGCTGACATGGCACACGGAGCATTCTCTTCTTCCTTCCTTTTTGCTCCCAACGTAATTGCAAAAACCTGTGCAGTGGCCCTGAGTGCCTCCACATGTCTCCTTCCTTCTGGAATGTCTTCTCAGGCCTTAGAGCCCTGGTCACCTCTTCGGATAGCCTCTTCCCAGATTTGAGCTCCCTGGAGAGCAGCAGAGCTGCGTCTTTTGGCTGGCTCCATCTTCATACCAGGGTCATTTATGATGGCCATCAGAATCTCATTTTTAGGGCCTCCCACTGTCCTGGGGTCATTTTCTCTTTTATAAGTGGTGCAATGTCTTTCATCCAGCTCCCTTAAAGAAAGGATCCCCCCTTCCGCCGAGCTGGTCAATGGCGGGAGGGCTGGAACTTCCAGCCCGGACTCCTCTTCCTTTCAGGTTCCTCCTCACCCTTGGGGACTCCTGTCAAGTGCAGCCAGCGCATGGGGATGATCTCGCTAGAACACCTTCCACTGAACTCCAGCCGGCCCATCCACTTAAGCGCCCTCCCTGCCTTAAATCCCAGCAACACGGCCAGGAAATACCAGCGTGCTTACGAAAGATTTTTCTAAAGACCCAGGTTTAACAAAAGGGCAATCTGCGCAAGAGGCTCTGGGGCAGGATGTCCTCCTGCCCCCTCCCCGCTCACGATTGGAGCACCACTGCTGGGCTTCCGTCCGCAGTCAGGGGAACTGAGTGTGTAGGTGGGGAGCGTAGAGGGATAGGCGCAGAGACCCGGACCCAAGCCAGGAAAGGGCCTTTTGTTGGAAAAGGCTTGAGATCTGCGGGGAAGGGAAAAGGAATGGCGGAATGGGAACCGGCGTGGTGAAGATGAGAGTCCGAGTGCACGGCCTGGAAAAGTGAGAAGTGGGAAGTTCCAAGGCACTAGGGAGTGGGCATGATGGGAGCTGAAGAGGACCTGAAGATGTGCTGCTGGGAGTTGGGAGTCAAACCCCCTTTAATATTCTTTGAAATGCAAGTAAATACTAGGCTTTATTTCTTTATTGTACTTGGTTAATGGACTGTTTCTTTGACTGCAGAACTGTGGTCAGACTGAGCCCCGGGGAGCCCACGAGGTTTTCAGGAAACACAAGGAACTAAGAGACACCTGTGGCCCGGCTCGTGAGCTACAGTTCACTCGTCTCCAGCACAGATCAACTTAGCAGGGCAACTGCATTGTGAATCCACACAGCAGGCCTCCCGGTAGCACCAAGCACACCCACAGGAAGCAGCCAGGCTGACATTTTAATCACCTTCCACAAGTCTAGGAGGTTTCTCTGGGAAGATCCAGTGTCCCCCTCTCCCCTGCTTGATCCTTTCCCAGCATGTACTGGTCACCTCTGTTGAAGGCTGATACATACACGAATCACAGACAGGCAACTGAACCTCCCAATTCAGTGGTTCTCCCCTTTTTGGCTACGCAGTAGCGGCCTCAAAAACTCCAGATATTCGGATTGCACCCCAGACCAGTTCAATTACAATCTCTGGGGGTGGGACCCAGGAATCTGTCATTGGAAACAACCCCCCATCTCCCCCCAAAGATTCCAGTGTGCAGCCAGGGTTGAGAACTACTGTGCTACTGATTCACTCCACGCTTGGTCAGCAGCCACTCAGACAGGAGCCAGACTCTTTGATATTTAGCATCTGGTCACCTGAAGTTGTCTACACAGTACCCACCATTCATTCTTATCAAAAATCCCCAAGTTCCTGAGGAACCCTCTCAGCACCCAAGCTTCAACGACAGCTGCGATCAGTTTGGCAAGACACACGCATTGCTTTTTTTTTGCAGACACAAAACCCCAGCTCTGGCAAAGTCTGGAAGCCCCGAAACACCTCCCATGTATCTGTGAACCGGGCCATCCTGTCCGCTAGCCTGCGGCCCCTGCTGCCTTCCGCCCACTGCTCCGGCCCCCTCTGCAGGCTGCTGCCCCTCGGGGACCATGGCTCCCACCCTCTCAGACGAGCACCGGCTTCTTTTCCCGATACCCACACACGAGCGGCACGGCCCCTCCCGTGGATCGGCTGTCCCCCCCACAGGCCTCCCTTCAACTGCTGGCCACCACCGCCACTTCGGCCATGGACCACCCTCTCCTGCTTCCACGTGGCCCTGCTCCTGCCGGACACTGGGGCCAGCCACCTGTCCAAGGGTAGGTGAGAGCATTCTATTTTTTTCTGCCTCGGACCCTAACACGGGGCTCGCAGCAGAGGCACTGCTGACCTGCCTCGTGTTTAGTCGCCCACCGTCAGGCCTGGCCTGACCCCTCCAACCGCCTCTGCCAGCTCACAGATCGCTCTTCCTGAGCAAGCAGCCTCTTCCTGAGCCTCGCCCTCCTGGCCAGGCCTGCACCAGAGCCCACAGGCGTGTCTCGCTAGATTCCAGCAACTGACAGAGCTGCAGCCTGGGGATGGGGGTCCCTACGCAACCCGGTACACTTGGGGAATGTGCTCTTTTCGTAGGCCGACTTTCACACGTGTCAGGTGGGATGAAGGCCATGGAGGCGGAATTCAGGGGTATGCAGGAGCCTGTGGCACCTTGCCAAGGATGCCCTGCTCCCCAGCGAATTCGCTGCAGGTACTCTAGGAGCACCACGGGTCCGGAAGGGGGCACAGGAGGTGGGTGAAAAGTGCACGAAGGGGTCCTCATTGGTTTTCTTTGTAAATGTATGTTTTTTAAAGTTTGGGACTCATAATGCTTAATTTAAAAAACGTGCTGTCCGAAGAATTCCAACACAAAAGCAGTGGTCCTCCAGCTCTCCCCCACCCCAGAGCCGGTGGTGTCTGAAGGTGAGCGGCTGCTTCTAATTGTTTTAACTCTTCACCACCTAAAATGAGCTTCTCCCACCTTCCTTGAGTAACCTCAGACATCACCTCACGCCTCCCTGCTGACGCTGCAGCCAGACTGACACCTGCCCCCCAAGACTGCTGGTTTTGATGCCTGCACCCACCTCTCACCAAGTCTGGCGAGACCAGTGGCGTTGCCATCCTTTCTCAGAGTCTCCTTCCCAGGCTTCTACCTCTGCCCCAGGTCAGTTCCGTTTTAGCAGTTTTCTGGGATGGAAAGAAGTGCCCAGGGTTCAGAGGAATGTAGACTGCGGAAAGGTTACCACTGAAAACCTGACCGGCGCTGAGGAACGATTGAGAGGGGCCTCTGCTCGCGAAGCCGGGCAGATGGGGTGACGTACCGAGCAGACAGCAGAGGAGTCTGAGGGATCTATGGGGCACCTGAGCACGGACTCTGGAGGGCCACAGGCTATCTATCCCGGTCTGGCCGCGGCAGTGAGCACCCGGCATCAGCAGCCTGCGGGCACTAACTGAAGCCACGGGCATGGCTGAGGCCACAGGAAGGACACACTAGGAAGAGAAGAGGGGCTGCAGCTGGAAGAACAACATGGAAAAGAACAGAGGCCTGAGAGGAAGGAGGATGAGGAGTAGCAGCTGGGGCTACAGGAACCGGGGTGGGGAGGGCAGGGTTCTTTGAAGTACCTGAGAGCTTGAGGGGCAGAAAGCTGTGGTCAGAGTCCCTGTGGGCCAGTTCTCGGTATGGTGAGGTGCAGGGTAGGGGGCCGTGGGGCTGGGGGCTGCCGTGGAATGGGGTGAAGACCCCGGAGAGGTCAGGGTGCTGGGTGTTGAAATCACCCAGAAAGAAGGCCGGCCCTGGCTCAGGAGAGTCCCCCTGGGAGGCAAGGGCTGGAGCCTTCCCTATGTGGGGGGGAGGCAGGAGGAGGTGTGAAATGATCTGGGGAAAGTGGGGTTCCCCTCAAGACCTGGAACCTCAAGGCACAGGGGACCTTACCAGATGGTGGGACCGACACAGTCCAGGAGGCACAGAAGGCCGTGACCCACCTCCCACAGGGTGTGGGAGAAGAGGGGACGTGGTAACCCCACCAGAGAACCCCGTTTCTGCGCAGGGGGGACACGAAGCCACCTGCAAGAGAAGAGCTAAGTCCAGCAGGGAAGGTGATGGTCATGGAAGAAGGGTTTGCAAGGGCAATCTTTCAACAAATATTTATTGAGCAGCCATATCTGCCAGGTCCTGGGATCGACACAGTCCCTGCCCTCGTGGGCTTAGGTCCTGGCAGAGGCCTAGTGGAAAGCCTTGGGGTGTTGGGATGGGGCAGTGGGAGGTGTAAAGGGCGACAGATGCTTCCTAGTTTTGAGCAAAGAGGCCCGGGGATGTGAGGAGCGGTGGCCCGAATCTCAGTCATGCCCTTTCCAGGAAGAGGGCTGACGTCCCCCTGCTGAGTCCATGTAGCCATCCCTTCCTGGGTCTGCTCCCTGACCACAATGCACTGAATGCCTACGGTGCGCAGGGCCTTGGGCGCAAGGGCCGGGTCAGGCCCAGCAGCGGGGTGGAGCACGGGCCGAGTGAGTGGCCACACGGTTCCAGGAGGATGGTGGCCAGCAGCTATAGAGGGAGGGAGGTGCTCAGGGCTCTGAGGCCTGTCTGAGGGGGGCCGGGCTGGTGGGGGAGACGTTCTGGAGGGCAAAGGAATGGGAACACAATTGGAGAGACCTCCAGCAAGACCCGTGTCAGAATCCCTGGGGGAGATTCTTGCCCTAAGAGTCTGGGGTGCTCTGCCTCCCTCCATCCCCCCTGCTGAGAGAGGTGTCAAGCTGGGCAGCCACAGAGGAGAGAGGAAGGGCAAAAAAGTTGTTGAGCCACTGGGCTACGTTGGGGGAGCCCCGGAGGGAGCAGCCGAGGGAGCGCACTGCTCCCCGACCCCGGCGGTGGTGGCGTTGGCCTATGGCCCTCTGGAGGTGGCAGGGACCCCCCTGGGCATCGGCGGGATGGCCGGGAGGCCCCGTGGTGGCAGGGGTGGTGGCCTGGACCTTGGGGGGAGGATAAGTCCACGTGGGTTTACAATACACTTTGAGGGGCAAGCGGAAGACGCGATGAAGATGGGCGGTTCTTTGTGCTCTCCGTGGCAGGAAGCTGGTCCCGCGGCGGCGGCAGATGGCAGCGTCCTCCTGGTGACTGGCAGACTGGCTGGGAGACTCGGCCTCAGGGACTGCAGCTTGCTCAGTGCGATGGTGGGAAGCCCAAGCCGGGGGGCGGCATGTGCCAGGGGGCAGACGGGAGGCCCGGTAGAGGCGGTAAGCTCCTCGTGCTCTTGGCAGGGGGTAGGCTGGCGAGGAGTGTGGTGCAGCGGTCTCCGTGGGCTCCATGCACTTTCCAATACAGAACCTCAGACTGAGGGCTGGAAGGGACCTCAGGGGCCACCCAGTCCAACCTTTCACTCTGTTCAGATCCCCTTTGCCCCAGCCTCCATTAACCAACCTCCAGGGACGGGAGGGTCGCAACCCACAAAGTTCCATTGGGGGACAGCTTTCACGTTCTTTCTTAGGGAGTGAGAACTTGCCTATTTGGGCCCCGTACGGTGCTGCCCACGCCCTTGCGGCCCTGCACTGACCCTCACTGGCTGCGGGTAACCGGGGTACGGGCTCTTGTTCACCCTCCTCGTTGAGGACTTAGAGTTAGAGAACATGTAAGGAAGCTCCAGACAAAGGCATTAGCTAGTCCAGAAACGAGACAGGGCTCTGGAAGGAAGCACTCTAGCAGCATTTCAGAGCACGTATGGTTACTGAAGGCTCCTGCCCTGGTACGGAGGGAGGGCTGGGGTGGTCCAGGACCGCAGTTGGCATTTGGAGGCTGTCCTCAGGACAGCTCACAACTCACTGCCTCGCTGGAAAATTCCCCAGGCGCAGGGCAAGTCTGAGAGTCACCTGCTGTGGCTGTGTCCCCTGGGACCTGGAATGGGGGGAGGCAGGAGGCCAGGGCCGAACTTCTGGACCACTCACCGAGTTTTCAGCATCTGAGTCTTCTGAGCTGCTGATCACCACGACGCGTTCCTCTGAAACGGGGCAGAGGGGACAGCATTAGGCCCTGCCGGGTGGCCCAGTGCATAAGGCCCAGGTGTGCTCCGTGGGAATCCCTGTGGGCGAGTGGATGGGGTGGGCCATGTGTGCCCTGCGGGGGGGGGGGATGGGGACATCCACCGAGTGTGCCGGTGTGATCTATTTATTTATTCAAAAGGGCTTTCCGTCACTGCCCACTGCGCCCTGTATGTGAATACTTAACTCAGCTAGCAGCCCTGAATTCGGAATCTGCTCCCTGTACAGGCAGCTTGGCAAACAGCCCCTGGTTTGGAACATTTTGTGATCCTAAAGAAGCACGTTAGTTTGTTCCAATCCTCAGCCTCATGAGCTGAGGTGTTCGAATTAAAAGGTACTTTACTTGGTTAATCAAAATCTTTTGATTACCAATAGCATTGTGAGCAAGGAATGTCGGTCAGGGCTCAGTGTGCAAGCAGGATCAGGGCTCAGTCTGGGACCTAGAATGAAAACAAAGGGGGCCTCTGGGTGAAGCAGATCTTGGAAGAACTGTCTCGTCCATTCCAGAATTCTATTAGTTGACTGCAACTCATGTCCAAGGACTCCCTGTCTGGTGGTGTCCGTAAGAGATATGTAGGACAAATGAGGTACTGGATGCGGGTGACCTCTGCAGACAAACTTGGCAAGTGAGAGGTGTGGACTTTCCCCAAGGTCTCTCTAGGCACATGCTAGCTACCCGCCAACACACACTCCCTGGGGAGACCCACCTTGGGCAGCGGCACAGTGCTGGGTACCCTAAGGGGCAAGGAGCTATGGAACCGTGGGCTTTAGCCCCTCATGCTCCTCACACTGGAATCCCAGCAAATCACCTGGTAAACTGTATCCATTCTCACCCCCCCAGGCAAACCGTGCGCTTTCCTTGCCCCATTTGGGGGCAGCTGAGAGCTTGAGACACACAGGGGATGCTGTTGGCATTGGGCTCCCTGGGAGGGGTGAGGATGCAGAAGGGTCCCACCCAGCGCCTGGAGGACAGCATGCAGGCTGCAGCCTCTGCTGCCCACCCACCTCCCTACCTGCCTCCCCAGGGTTGCCGGCTGTGTGGTTGCTGTTGGGCAGAAAGACCTCGCCTCCCAAGATGGGGCTTTCAGGGCTGGAGGGCCCATCCAGGTGGGGTGGCGAGACTGCCTTGGAGGTGCTGGGCCTGGGTTGTTCGGGGGAGCTCCGGGCCAACCGTGTCTCCCTCTCCTCCTCAGACTCCATCTTGATGGCCTTCCTGGGGCACTCAGTCTGGCAGGACTTCCTCTTCTGGGGCAGGACTGTGTTGCAGACCTCCTATGCAGTGGAGAGTCACAGGGCCAGGTTAGCAGCCTTCAGCAGTGCTGGGGGGGGTGGGGTGGGCAGAGACGCGGACCCGGGTGGCAGGGGCCTGGGGCCCTCCCCATTTGCTCTCCTGCCATGCAGATCATGTCTCTCTCCACAGAGGACATCCCCTGAGCCACCACGCACACGGGCTGTCTGCTGACCACCGCCTCTGCTGGCTTCTGCCTGCCTGGAGTGGCTCGTGCTTACAGGGGAGCTTCCTGGCAGAGCAGCCAGGAGCGAGGGAGAGAACAGAGTGGGTGCTGATTAAGGCCTGGATTCTCACCCCACCCCCGCTCTGCCTGCCTAGTGGGATCTGGGCCTCCAGGGACGGAGGTGGGGGGTGGGGAGAGCCTTACCTCTCTGCAGGAGGAGTCTTTGATGGAGTAGGCATGAACTGGCACTGGGTGTACCCCGGGCACTGGCTGGACCAAAGTCACAGTATGGGTCTCAGCCAGCCCCGGGGCCTGTGCCTGAGCCCTCTGCGTCTCCTCTGGCTGTGAAGTCCAGAAACAAGAGAGACGGAAATGAGCAGGTGGCAAGCCCAGGGCTAAGAACCCAGGCCTGGGGTCGGCCCAATCCCCAGGGCCCACTGGGGACCAGGAGTCCTCCTCACACCCTCCATGGCTTCACCTCCTCCTGACCCTGAGGTGCTGGCAACCAGGGTCACTTCAATTCCTGTGCATCCTAACAGGGCCGAAGGGGACTTCCGGGATCATACGGACCAACCATGCCTCAAGCCTTGCTCAACAAGAGCTCTAGGAACAGTGCTTGCTCCCGATGCATCCTAGAGGAGCCAAGTTAGAATGGCGAGGAGATCCTTCCAGGGAACTTCCCTGTGACCTGCACTCTGCCCCTGGGCTTTAACTCCACTTGGGTCAGAACGGCAATTACACACCTTGGACCCATCACTGAAAACTCCTCAGGCCTCAGTCCCGCTCTGTAAAATGGGACTACAGGCAACGTCTGTCTCACGGGAATAGGCGGATGAACTCTGCTGCGCTTGGAAGAGAAGTTGACACTTAGCACCACTGATGACGCGGATGGTAAAGACTGTTTTTACGACTCCGCTGTGCCGGGCACAGTGCGAAGTGCTTCCTACACCCATCCCGAAAGGGTGTAGGAAGCAGCCTACTACCAAAGTGGAAGCAAGAGGCTTTGCAAAAAAGAACATTCTTCTCTGATGCTCCAAGTTCAAACCCGAAAGGAAGGAGGTAGGGGCAGCTCCTCAAAAAGTTAAACACAGAATTTCCATCTGACCCAACAATGAGACTCCTAGGCAGAGGCCCGAAGGACTGAAAACAGATGTTCAAATGGAAACCTGCACACAAATATTCATGGCAGCCCAAAGGTGGAAACAACCCAGATGTCTATCAACCACTGAGCGGATAAACAAAATGTGGGACAGCCATTCAGCGGAGCATTATTCAGCCATAAAAAGGAACGAAGTTCTGCACGTGCAGCTTGGATGAACCTTGCACGCTACATGAAATGAAAAGAAGCCAGCCACAAAAGAAGACAAGTTGTATGGGTCCGTTTATATGAACTAACTGCAAGAGTTGACTGCACAGGGACAGAAAGCAGACGGGACGCTAGGGTGGGGGTAGGGGAGACGGGGAGCAGCCACAACGTCTCCTTTCGGGATAATGGGAATATTTTGGAACTAGGTGCGTGGGGTGGCTGTACAAGATTGTGAGCGTACTAAATGTCACTGAACTGTACCCTCTAAGATGGTTCAAATGGGGAATTTTCCTACATGAATTTTACCTCAATAAAAAAAAATTATAAAGAAATAGGGACCATCCTGTGATTATTGCCAATCTATAGAGAAGGGTCAGAGGCACGAGAGGTGAAGTGACTGATTTCCCAAGGTCCTGGACCAGGGTTTGAATCTAGTGTTTCTGAAATGCAATTTCCCTTTTCTTTAGTCACTGTCTCCCTCACACCCCTCCACACTACCTTTCTCTACGGTGCTGCATCTGCTGGACAGTTTGCTGAAAATAAGTGACAAGTGACCTGGGAGGTGTCCCTCGGAGAGAGGAGGCCCAGACTCTGGGGCTCGGCTCCAGGGGCCCTGGCCTGCTGTTCCTGCCTCCAACTCTGTGTGTGCCCAGTAGACGACCATGAGCAGGGGCCTGCAGTGGTCTGTGTAGTGAAAGAAAGAGAACCGCACATGGCTGGAGGGGGTGCTTCCCCGAGCAGAGCTGCACTGGTAAAACCAGGCGCTGGGCCATGAGATTAGGAGGCCAGGGATATGCTTCTCTCACAGGGACAAGCTCCTATGTGGTAGAGGAGGGGTCAGGCCCACCCTCACAAGGGAACCGGGGCTGGGGGCAGGCAGGGGAAACCCAGCACGACCACGAGCCCCCACCCCCCACCCTGGTGCTGAGACAGGAACCTCCTGGGGCTGGGCTCTTCTTAGTATCTAGTACTTTGATGTGGGAGGTGGAATTCCACATCATTTGCTATAATGGACTGACTTCCTTTCCCCCCACTTCCCTCCTGGGTTTTTTTTTTCTCAACATCTTTACAGAAAGGAAGGGGAGTGGTCTCTCTGGATCAGAGCAGTGTTATCTGGGGAAAGGGGGGAGAAACAGATGATCTCCTGGGCCTCTAGGAAAGTATACAATCTCCGCTGAGTGCTCTAGACCACTGGTTTTCAAACTGTAGTCTGTGACCCATTAGCGGATCATGAAAGCAAATCAGTGGGTCATGACTAGCATTTTTAATATTAAGCAGAATACTACAGAACAGAAAGCATCAGAGTATGTCCCATTTAACATGTGTAATTTATCCTGTGAAACTTCCATTTCAGCTACAGTTACGCATGTGCATGTGGATATGCTGTAAACTGGATATAAAATAGTATTTCTTTACAGTGGGTAGTGGTCAAAAATTGAAACCACCTCACACCCATTAGGACGGCTATTATTGAAAACGGTGTGGGTGAGAATGTAAAGAAATTGGAGCCCGCTGTTGGGGGGAACGTAGAATGGTGTAGCCAACTATGGGAAATTGCATACTGACTTCTCAAAACGTTAAAAATAGAATTACCATATGATCCAGCAATTCCACTGCTAGGTAAATTTTACGTTATGTGTATTTTATCACCATGAAAATTTTTTTTAACAAGCTGAAAATGTCCTTTTGTATCTGGATCTACAAATCACTGGTAGGTGAAAGACCCTCTTTCCACGTGGGCTATGAACTCCCCACAGATGGGCTTGGGTCCCTCTCTCTGCATCTGTCCCCCCAATGACACCCTCACTCCCAGGTTAATGAAGCAGGGGACACACAGGAGGGGTCTCTAAAGACAAAAAACGGTTGTTTTATAACTTTAAAATGTTTTATTTTTTTCATTAAAGTATTTTCACGTCACTACAAAAAGAGCTCAGAAGAAACAAAAAGAAAACGCCTCTAAGCTAGGCAGTTCTAGTCAAGCCTACTGCTATTCCTCTTATCGCCTCTGTGTGGGAACGTGACTGCAATGAAAGTAAACCAACCATTTCAAGAGGGATCAAGTGTTGGTGTTGCGTGCCCAGCTCCTGCCTCCTAAGGCAGGGGCATGGACCCAAGGGTGGTCTTTCTCTGGGCAGAGCTATAGCTGATGGACCTGGCTTTCTCCTGGGACAGCCTAACCATGCCTGCCTCCCAGCCTCGCTGGGGCTGCTCCACTGGTGCCCTGAGCTCACAGTGTGAAACCTATTCCCCTCCCCTAGCTCCACTGGCCCACCTCTCCCCTCCTCCAGCCTACTACCAAAGTGGAAGCAAGAGGCTTTGCAAAAAAGAACATTCTTCTCTGATGCTCCAAGTTCAAACCGCTTAATAGCGGATAGGATGGTGAGAGGTCACGTAAAGACCAAGACCCAGCAAAATGCTGTCAATTAACCAGCGACTGGCACCTGGAAGACAGCTGAGCTCCAAGCTCCAAGCTCCGTGCATCCCGGAGCACTTTACACAATTATTCAGAGGATTTCTATGAGGACATTATTCATCCTTGCATTGTAATATACCAAAACAACCTAAATATGCATTGGCAGGGAATTGGCTAAATTAAGCATGCTACATCCATTCAACAGGCCACTGTGCAGATGCAAAAAGGCAACAGGAAGCTCCCTACCTACCGATAGTGTAAGAATTCCAGAGGATTCCAGAATACCTCCTTGGGTGAAAAAGCCTGGGCACAATACTCTGAATATATGGTATTATGCTACCTTTGTACAAAAAAAGAATGGAAAAACCAATTACCTGTAATCATATTTGCTTGTAATGACAAAGAAATTCTGGAAGGATATGTAAGAAATAAATAAAGATAGGTATGTGGGCATAAGAGGTGGAAAGATAGGGAGCAGGTGGGAGTGAGACATTATGTATCTCTTTCTTTCTTTTGTTAAATCCAGATAATTTGTGCGCAGGATCGGGGCAGCAAGGTGCCACATGTAGGGTATTACGTGACAATACAGGCTATGCGCAATTACAGTCTTTTTTACACTGTATAAGAAATCATTGCGATGCTGACTAATGGGAGAGTTTAAATGAGGAATGCGGTAGGGAGAGATGGTAGGTCAGTGTCCTCCCCACCTCAAAACAGTGGTTCTCAACTGAGCTACAAATTATCATCGCCTGGGGATCAGAAAAAAAATTTTTTAGGTACAATTTATATACAGTGAAATGTAGAAACTGTAAGTGTACAAATCAATGACGTTTTAAAAATTGAGAGTATAGTTGACATACTTATCACTTTCTCTCTTTTTACTTCTGACCATGTGATTGTGTTACTAATCCAAAAAACAAAATACTTTTGTTTTACTTTTTACTTTACTTTTCCTTTTTTACTTGTCAAGCTATATATATGGGAATGCAGTACCCAAAGCAGTTAGGAGTTGGCTTCTAGTCCTACCCCTAGCTTGCCGTGTCATGTGGCTCTGAGTTAAGTCACCCTCTCTTTGGGCCTTAACTTCAGTCTGTGCAAAAGAGGGGGTTAGACTCCATGCTCTCTCCTAGCTCTAAAACTCTCTGAGCCTAAATCCTGCCTCCTCCAGGAAGCCTGTCCAGATTACCTCTGTCTACTGCAATCTTTCTCTCCCAAAGGCCACATATGGCAAAGCTAGGCAGGCTCACCGCCTGACCGCTACCACCAGAAGACCTGCTTTCCTTGGAGGGTTGATGGGTCCAGGGCCCACATCCTTGACTGGCAGGCACATGCAAACCTGGATGACCACGACGCCTGGTCCAAGGAGGAACTCAGGAAGCTTAGCCCGAAGCAGAGGAACCATGCATGCAAGCACCCAAGAGGGCAAGCCAAAGCAGGGCCACTGCATTTTCCCCCTGGCCAGCAATCTAAGTCAGAGCAGTCCAGAGCCAGGAGTGGCTGTCTCAAGAATGAGTGAGCTTCCTGTTCGTGGAGGTGTGTGTGTGGACAGCCCCAGGTCAACGGTGCTGCAGAGGGAATGCCATCGTTGGAGGGCGTATGGACACCTCCCAATCCTGAGAAACTATGGTTCTTGCATCTATGCTGGTCCTGAAATCACACCCATGAAACCCAAGCTGCTGGGACTGAGGTCTGACTCCTGGCCCCATTCTCCTCTCCAAGAACTGCGTTTGGGGGAAGAGGAGGGGAAGGCCCCTATGGTGATTCCAGGAAAAGGCTCACATGTCTGGGATGGGGTACGGGGTAAGGGAGAGGTCATCTACCAGGGCCACCCACCGGTGACCACCTTCTTCACCTCCTGTCCAGCCCTTCCCGAACCCATCAAGTGCATTTAGGAGCCCAGAACCAGCCAGTTTGCCGGCCCTTCCTTTACTCCCTCCCACGGAAAGCTCCAGTCCAGCCACTTGCTATCCCCCTCAGGCACTCTCCCTCTTCTACTGTCTGCAGACATAGGGACATTGAGACTCAGTTTCCTTCCCGCCACAGGGGAACCTGTCTGACCTGCTGGACCCTACCGCCTCCCCTTCACACCTGAACCCATCTCACCGGGTCAATGTCAAAACAATCCTTAGGAGTGCTGGTAGCCTCTGGGCTGGCTCGCCTGGGTACAGCTGCATCTGGAGAACAAAGAAAAGGTCACAGGCAGGTCAGGGACATCGCCGGTGAGAGGCATCTTGGATGGGACAGTGACAGAGGAAATGTCCCTGCCGCTTTTCCTAGACTCAGGCTTCAGGGTCTCTCACAACACCGGGGTAGCTCCATGGAGGAGCTGTCATTTGGAAGGAGAGCACCCTGACTGCAGTGAGCATGAACCCAGCCAGAGAGGAGAGTGCAAACCCCAGGGGCACCCTCTGTCCATCTCCTGGCCACCACCAAGGCAAAGTGCAACCAATCCTAAGGTTGTCATTGCTTGCTGACTTCTCTGCATACAGTGAGAGCTTCATGATACTCCTATGACCCGCAGCCTGATTTCTATTACATCTAACCTAAATCTTTCATGCTTCAGAATAAAAGAGCTCCTTGCCCTGCCACTGCCCAATTACGATACTGAAGACAAGCTGTTTAAACTCTGTGGGGTCATTTCCTGTATACGGAGTAACATTCACTGCCTAGGTGGAGAAGGCACAAATCCATATCCACTCCAGGATTATACTTTTACAAGCCCAAGTCCCTCAGCTCCGAGGGCAGGAGTGAGTGAGGAGCCCCCATCACTGGCCCTTGCCCAGATACCTTCAGATTCTGTTGCCAAAAACCCCTTTCTCAGTAAGGGCAACCTCACACTAGTTTATCTATCTCGAGCTCAGATTTCAGCCTAGAGGTTTTGTCAAAGAGCTTTTATTTTATTTATTTTTAGATTTTTAAAAATTTTTATTTATTTGACAGAGAGAAAAACAGTGAGAGAGGGAACACAAGCAGGGGGAGTGGGAGAGGGAGAAGCAGGCTTCCCGCGGAGCAGGGAGCCCAATGCGGGGCTCGATCCCAGGACCCTGGGATCATGACCTGAGCTGAAGGCAGACGCTTCACAAAGAGCCACTCAGGCGCCCTTGTCAAAGAGCTTTTAAAGCTTCCTCACCCCGGAGGCCCTTTTGGTCAGCCCTCCCCCCAGTGTCTCTTGAAAGCCCCCCCTGACGTCCCCAGCTCACACAGAGCTGCTACGACTCCTGCATTTGGACTGCAGAGCCGAGTGCTATCTCGTTCCCCAGCTATGTGATGTGCTCCCATCTGTGTCCCGGTCAGACTGGCCAACTCTGGAGGTCAGGAACTAGTCTGCTGTCTCCTTCCCAAGTGCCCAATACCAGGCAGGGCCTACAAAGGTGGGCAGCTGGTCCAGATGACAGGCCATGCTGGAAGCAAAGTATCTCCTCCACTGAGCCAGAGTGTGGTTTTGGGTAACCATCCAACCACCCCAGGGGGTTTCCTCAGCCCCCTTCTGCTCTAACCTCAGGTTCAGTTGACTTCTCTGGTGCTAGACACAGGGCTTAAGCGAACTTCCCGGAGTGGTTACCCTCTGAGGCTAAAATGATACTGGGTCTGGTTCTCCGCTTTGTATTTTCTTAACTTCTCCAAGGGTCACAAGATCACAGCTAATCCAAAGGGTCTTGCAAATTAGTACAACATGACCCCTCTGGGAGGCTGCAGACCCACGTCAGGGCCTACTCTCCTCCTTACAACCTGCACTCTAGAATCTACAATGTGGGCAAAAAAACCCGTTTCCTTTCCTGTCACATGTAAATGACCTTTTTCTGTCCGTCTTGCTTGTGCAACAGCAAAGCACAAGCCCTCAAATGGTAAAGGGGTTGGTCACGAGCGTCGCTCGGGTGCTTACCTGCCCCCTGAGTGATGCAGGAGACCAGTTCCTGCAGGCGCACTTTGAATTCGTCGAAGCTGTCGGTGCGCACGGTGGTGTTTAAGTTCTGGGGCTCCTCCTGGCGCAGGCGGCTGAGCGCCTCACGCAGAAAGCCGTGCAGGTCCAGCACCTCCTGGTCAGAGGCGTAGCGCTTCATCCTCTGTACCAGCGAACCTCCCAGGCGGATGCGCTGCAGCACAGCTTCCAGGCGGCCCAGCTGGCCGGCGACCTCTTCATAGGTGCGCTGGTACTGCGCGTTCACCCCCTCCAGCAGCACTTGCTCCTGGGCCAGCACGTGCGCCACCAGCTGGCGCACGCGCGTGTGGATCAGCTCCTCGGTGTCTGCGCGCATGCTGCCCAGCTGGCTGACGGCTGAGCGCATGCACGCCTGCGCCGCCCCGAAGGCGCGGTCCTGCTCCTGCAGCGCCTGCGCCATGGCGTCCAGCTCTTCCTGCCGCTGCTGGATCTCGGTGCTGATGTCGCACTTGAGCTCGCTGTGGCCGCTATCCAGGAGCGCGCACGAGCAGCACAGTGGTTTGGAGCAGCCTCGGCAGTAGATGCTGCGGATACACAAGGCCGGCCTGGTTTAGGGCTCTCCTGCTCCGCCTCACCACTCCCCCCACCCCCGCTTTAAACTTTCCTAATTAAACTCCTCTTCAAAAATTACAAAACTTTGAATCATGGTATGTTTCTAGGTTCGTGCTCTTCCCAATTCAGTTTGTGGTTTGTGTGTGTTTAAGATTTTATTTATTTATTTGAGAGTGAGCGAGCACAAGCAGGGGGACCGGCAGAGGGAGAGGGAGAAGCAGGCTCCTGGCTGAGCAAGGGAGCCCCATGGGGAGCTCGATCCCAGGACTCTGGGATTATGACCTGAGCTGAAAGCAGACTTAACCGACTGAGCCACCCAGTCGCCCCTCAAGTTTGTGGTTATGGTGCTAGTCTCCAAACTACCAATAAAACATTAGAACATAAAAAAGTCACTAAAGTAACAACAGCTAGCCTTCTCTGTGAAACAATGTACAGATACACAAAAAGTTAATCACCTCTTCACACCACTTCTGAATTTCTTTTCCCTTCCTCCGAGGTAACCGGATGAGCATCTGGGTGCATCCTTCCACAACTCTGTCTGCTCAAACCACTTTACACAAATAGCCAGACTATGCAGCTGCTTGCAGGATTTTAAGGACTTGATACATTTCATCCCATGTAATGCTCCGTAGAGTTTCCATGGGGAGAATTATTGTTATCCTCATTTCACAGACGAAAAAACCCAGATATTCAGTGGTTAAATAATTGGCTCAAGTATCTACAACAATTTTGGTGGGCTGATGTTTTTTTCTTCAAAACAAAACAAAACAAGATCATGCTATGAATGAGATCATGAGTAATGACTCTGTAACTTCCTCCTCTAACTTAACTTTTGTTCAGGACATTCCTGGAGGTCTAATAAGTATAGATCTAATGTATTCTCTTTAATAGCTCCTTTAAATTTCATATGTACCACAACGGATCCAGTCATTCTGTTAATGGACACTCCAGTGATTTCCTATTTGTTTATTTTTTTATTTTTAAAGATTTTACTTATTTATTTGAGAGAGAGTAAGCAAGCACAAGCGGGGTGAGAGGCAGAGGGAGCAGCAGACTCCCCACTGAGCAGGGGGGCCGATGTGGGGCTCGATCCCAGGACTCCGGGGAATCATGACCTGAGGCCAAGGCAGACACTTAACCGACTGAGCCACCCAGGCACCCCAGTGATTTCCTATTTGTACATTTTCTTTTCTTTTTGCCAATATGGACGATGCTTTATGTGGCTTAACACATGGATGCTTTTGTTTCTATGAAATAGGTTACAAATAATAGGAATGTTAAAGAGTGTGCGTATTTTTATTTATTTAATATATTTTAGCTAGCAGACACTTCCATAGCATTTTCTATGTGTCAGACACTATTATAAGCATTTGAGAAATATCAACCCTTTTAATCCTCCTAACGCTCCAACAGAGTAGGAATTCTTATATCCCCATTTTAAGGATGAGGACACTGAACAAGAGGTACAGTAACTTGTCCAAGGTCACACAATTAGTAAGTGATAGAGTCCAGAGGCAAACTATAGTAGGCAGAATAATGTACTAGTTCTCAGAACCTGAGTATGTTACGTTATATGATGATAAGGACTTAGTACATGTGATTAAGTTAAGGATCCGGGACGGGAAGATTATCCTGGATTATCTGGGTGGGGTCCTTATAAGGAAAGAGGGGGAGGCAGGCAGGTGTGAGCAGGAAGATGTGATCATGGAAGCAGAGGTCCCGTGATGCTATCTTGCTGACTTTGAAGATGGAAGGGGGCCATGAGCCAAGGAGTGCAGGCAGCATCTAGAAGCTGGAAAAGGCAAAACAGATTCTCCTCAAGAGCCTCCAGAAAGAATGTGGCCCTACTGACACCTCGATTTTATCTCTGTGAGACCCATTTCAGACTTCTGACCTCCAGAGGTATGTAATAATACATTTATAAAGGGTTAAGCTCCTACATTTGTGGTAATTCGTTACAGCAGCAATAGGAAACTAATAGAAAACCCCAGACAGTCTGGCTCAAGTCCTTGGTCTGAAACACTGCAATGCCCCCTCTTTAAACGCTCCCAGGAAAAGACTGTTAGTTACTTCCCCAGAAAGTCTGCCGTGATTTATTCTCATTAGCAGCAATAGTCAGCCCACCTGAGGCCAGGAGAAAGGATCTTAGCTGGAGCCCCTTTGGCCTCAGTTACTGAGATCAGCTTGTCCTGGAACAGCCAGTGGAGACCCTGCCAGGCAACCTGACTCCAAAACTGTGGCATCAGGCACCAGTCCTCAGCTTTGCCGGCTCTCAGCCTCCCCAAATCACCCAAGAAGGCAAGGCCTCAGAGCTTGAACCTCTTGATCAAACAAAGGAGACTTATTCCAGGCCAGGAGAGGTTTCCTGGAGAGTCCAGAGTGTGAGGGAAGCATGGAGGCTGCCACTGGGTCAAGAGCATTCAGCTCCTCCAGCCTGGGGAAATGTGATGTAAGTGACAAGAGACCCATCACCACGAGGCAGGGCTGGGGACTGAGGTAAGTGGCAGCTGAAGCAGAGAAAAGAGCCGGGCAAACGTGGATCTGACCTTGGCTCTGTGCCCTTGGCAAGTCACTTAACCTCTTTGCACCTCAGTTTTCTTATCTGTATAACAGGTATAATCCCCAACTCATATGGGAGTGCTATAGAGGATCAAATGAGAGAAGTCCTACATAATATGAAAAGAACCAATAACTCTGCAGAGGGCAGCTTGGCAACATCTGTCAAAATCACAAACACGTTTATCCTCTGACCCAGCAATCCCTCTTCTGCGGAGCTATTCTGCAGCTCTATCTCTAACTTACAAAATAACATCTGTACAATGCAACACAGTATATAAGAGCAAAGAAGAGAAACAAGGCTAGGCAATGAGTTTCATAAATTAGGATGTACTCCATACAGTGGAGTGCTATGCAGCTGTAAGAAATCGAGGAAGCTCTTTAAATGGAAAAATCTCCATGGCAAAATGAGAATAATAATAGGAGCAATAAAAATATTAAATGAGTTAATATATATAAAAGGTTAGACTAGTGACTAGCATATAATGAGTGTTCAATATTTGTATTATTATAATGTATATTTTAAATAAAAAAAAATTGGGGCACCTGGGTGGCTCATTTGGTTAAGTCTGCCTTTGGCTCAGGTCATGATTTCAGGGTCCTGGGATCAAGGCCCGAATTGGGCTCCCTGCTCAGCGGGAAGCCTGCTTCTCCCTCTCTCTCTCTGCCCCTCCCCCTGTTCATGCTCTCGCTCTCTCTCTCTCAAATAAATAAATAATCTTTTAAAAATAAATAAATAAAATCAATAGGATGCCACCTATTGTGTAAGAATGAAGAAAAGTAAAAATATATTCACATTTGGTTGTATTTGAATAAAAACGTCTTAGAAGGACACACAAGTTAATAAAAGTGGTATGGATGGGGCAGGGCAGAGGTGGAGTGAGACATTTCACTGTAAGCCTTTTAAATTGCTTTCATGTTTGGGGTGCCTGGCTGGCTCGGCCAGTTGAGCGTGTGACTCTTGATCTCAGGATTGTGAGTTTGAGCCCATATCGGGGGTAGAGATTACATTAAAATATTTTTTGTTTTAATGAAATCTTTTGATTGCTTTCATGTTTTGAAGCTTGTGAATGTATTACCTATTTTCTAAATGAAAGAACAGAATACTAATAAATGTGGGGAACTATATAGCATGTACAAATAAAGGGAGAACCAAATAAAACCTCCTGTCACTTTCCCTGCTTTGGACCCTTGGGAGGGGCTGAGTCTGAAGTTAGTCTCCCTTCCTTAGAAAGAGTGTTCCAAGCCTGGGGGTGGGGGTACACTAGGGTAGTCTGGCTGGAGGGAGAGCAAGACCTTTTGGGTTGACCACAGTCTCTGCTGGGCCCTATTCCTAAGCCCTTTCTGCCCTAAATGGGGTCTCCCTAGGGAAAGTGGCCACTGCTCCCCCACTGGCTGGAAGTAGACAATGGGCAGCATCTCTGTGAGGTGGTTGGCCTGCATCAGAGCCCCAGCCTTCTGATAAAACTGAGGTGCAGACCATAAATTGGAGTGACCCATCAAGGGGCTGCCACCCGGGACCAGGACCGAGCTCCCTGGCCTAGGATTCCTTCACTCTCACTCAAGGAACACTCACTGAGAACCAACTGAGGGCTTGGCACTCTGTGGGAGGCAAGGTGAAGTGGGCATGTGCCCACAAGGAGCTCCATGACAAAAACCCGAACTTAACACAGACATAGAGAAGAATAGCTCTAAAGCAAAATCACAGTTATTTGCTCCTGGACTACTCAAAAGAATGAGCTAAACTAGCATAGAATTAATAAGAAGTTGCTCCAGAAGGTGGCTGGAATACACCAGAATTAAGAGTAGAAAATTGCTTAATTCTATCCCAGCAATTCAAACAAAGAGAAATATGGAAAAAAATTTCCATGCTCTCATTCACAAACAGCAATTTTCAAATGCTTAAAAAAAAAAACAACACCTCTGACATAATTCTAGCAAAAAATATACATATGGAAAAAAGACAAAACTCCAGAGAGAGAAAGTCTAAAAAACAGAAAAATGTACCAAGGTCCCAACTGGAGAGGCTAGAAATTCTGATTATCAATTCTTCTCAAGTTAATATAAAGATTTAAGGCAATTTCAATCAAATTACAGATGAGATTTTGAAACTTCACCAACTGATTCTAAATTTCACAGGATGGAAAAGTTAAGAAATTTGGGGGAAATCAGCGTTAAGAAGGGGCATTCTCTCTGCCAGATAACATAAGATAGAACTACCATTTAAAAAGAGTATGTGTGGGGTGCCTGGGTGGCTCAGTTGGTTAAGCGTCCGACTTCGTTTCGTTTCAGGTCATGATCTCAGGGTTGTGAGATCGAGCCCCATGGCGGGCTCTGCGCTAGGCGTGGAGCCCACTTAAGATTCTTTCTCTCCCTCTGCTCCTCCCCCCAAACCGTGAGCTCTTTCTCTCTCTCT